TATATATATATATATATATATATATATATATATACATATTTTATATATTATATATATAAAAGTATCACAGGAAAATATTACCTTTCTGAAGATATATTTTTGACAATTTCGCTTACTTCGATAACCGGTTAATTAGTTACGAATAAGGCTCATAACTCTTTTCCGTCGTGCATTATAAAATTATCTTTGGAATATACAGGGTGCGACGCATAACCATCGCCACGACATCGTTCTTCTTCGATACACTAAACATTTGTATTAAAAACTAAACAAAATAGAAGAATACAAAAATGCTGCATCGATAGATTTAAGCTAATCTCGACTGATTTAAAAGTATAGCCTAGTATATCAATTTTAACAGAAAACGTGATTCTTATAAAATATATATTTTTTCCCATTTTCAAAGCTTTCGAAAAAAATTCTAGGTATTTGTAATAGCAGCTCGCATGCATGCCAAAAGGTAATTTAGACATGTAAGAACGCATGGGCTAAATTTCATGGATTTATAACAAAGTCGAAAAGACTTCTTGTTCGTATTTTGACAAATTCGGAAGTGGTCCGGATTTTGTTCGTCGTAACGATACATTTAAAACAGAGCTGTTCAACTACTTGCCCGTGAGAACAGCGATTTTCCGCCCAAGGCAAACACCGATCTGCGAGCTCCAGTCCCCACTCCCGAGAGCAACGATGTCCCTTCCTTAACTCCTCGTGGGACTCCCCACCAGTTAAATGCACGTTATTGCCTGAAGCAATCGTCGATATCGAGTGAAATAGAATGATAAATAACGGCAATGCGTGCGAGTGAGACAAGAAGAATAACATGAAAACGTAAACACTTCGCTCTTTCATTTCTTACGCCTCCCCCCCACTCTCCACTAAGCGCTTGACGGAGCTTTGCGCTTAGCCTGTGGCTTTGCCTTTGCTCGCCGCGGGGCATGTTTAACAGCTCTGGTCTATACACTCTTACATTGGTAAACAAATTGTAACATATAAATTTCGTGAATCACCCTTCGGGTTGGTATTGCACGTTGGCACAGATTTTAGCAAGAAAGTTGATGCGATCGATGAACCAGACCAATGTACACCGAAGGTGTGACTTTAACCATCAACCGGACTGTCAATTATACCTGACAGTTATCGTTTCAGTAAATATTGAATATTTTGTAACGCAATATTGAATATTTTGTAACGTAATATTTTGTTCGGGGTACAACGGAAGGACACAGAGTGAAATTGCACTAGATTTTATTCGGAGATGTATATAAAATGACGCGCGGTGCTGATGGATACTAGATGGAGCGCGGCGGAATAGTTAAACGTGTAGAGGCTCGGCGCAATGCTCAGACGAGAAGATTTTCAGTTTCTTGCCGCTGTTATTTATATTATGTCCCCCAAAAAGGCCACGCCTTTTTGGGAGACTCGCTGTCTTCTTTTCCCCCGCTTAGTTTGGCGGGGGAGGCAGCCATCGTCGAACCCTCACTGTAGGGGCGCGCTGGCCGTTCGGCCGGGTAGCGGTACGCGGCCGGCGACTTTCTCCGCGACTAGGCCTGCAGTGCATGTGGCAGTGATAAAAAATAAAGAGACAAAAGAATTTCCGGGTCTTGCAAACGTCAAGGACGTTTTCTCTCAGTCGAACCCTTGATATCTGCAAGCGGACAGTTTTATGGTTATTACGGTCGCCGACCGTGTGCCGCTACAATTTCAAACTCGACGAATTAATAGAGGATTGCGTGAATTTTTAAATAATTCCATTAATATATATCGACGTTGACTTGGTCAAAGTTATACGTTAAAGTTAAAAATACGATCACTTGTAACAGAAACATTTCTAAGATTTACACAGAGTGTAAATGCCCATATAGTGTCCAATAAATTTCTATCTATATTTCCAGAATGAAATGTAAAACTTTTTGCTCGAATTAACTAAAATAGTGGACGAGGGTTAACCCATTGCGATGTTATTCGTTTCTTCTAAATCGAAATAGAATTTGATTTTTCTGTTATAAGAGTCTAGAAATGAAAGTAAACGAATTACGAATTACTATTACTAGTAAGAAGATTATTAACGCGTCAAGTGCCGAATATCAACCCCGAAAATTCCCACGATGCCAAAGTCATTTAATCGATGTCGCCGTAACGAGATAATTGAAATTTTCTAGTAATTATTACTTCGACTCTTTTGCATTCTAAAAATACTGGTAACAATCGCTTTGCTCGAATATACGTTACAAAGAGAACGGACCCCAAAACCTAATGTAGCTGTGAAACGAATCGCGGTGGAAGCGGTTGAAACCAGGTTTATTTTTCTGAACAACCATGAATTTCCACGCGGTGAAACGCCACGAGATTACAGGATGTGGTGTGGGTACAGAGTACAAAACATCGATCGGTTCGTGTCAATGAGATTTAATTGTTGCACGTAGTTTCGTCGAAAACGCAGTTTATAAAAAAAAAAAGGTACAAAAGAAAGAATCCTGCAGAATGCAATCGTTCGGGTGGCCCAATCTTCGGCCCGCGCGATGACGGGCCCGTGAAACTTTTGATCTCGTGTCTCAATTTGCAAAGTCTACGATACATTATTCGCTAAATCTTTCATCGAAGAGAAGCCCGGATCCTCCTCAGTATATTTTCGAGTATGTACAGTTGTCGTGGAAGCGCCGGAATAATCGAATGGAAATACGCGATCGTGAGATGGTCTCTCTCTCTCTCGACGAAGCCTCGACCGGTTCACCGAATGTGAATCGTCGATCTTTTAGATCCCGAGGACCATCCGCGGGACGACGTTCGCGCTCGTCGCCGGAAGACAATGAAGTCTTGGCAGCGCGTTAGCGAGCCGGTAGGCAGCCGCGGGTGTCTTCTTTCGTTGTTCTTGGCCGTCTCTGTGTTTTTGTTCAGCGGATCGTGCGGCGGCCGTGGTCCTCGACGTTTATGCGTGTTCCTCTTTTGTGTCGTTTCTGCCAAAGAATCGTGGGACGGGTCAGGGCCTCTTCGTGAACCGACAATCGGTGATTACAGCCAAGATGTGCGGTTGGTGATCGGTGAGCAAATTTCCTTCTAATTATCCTCGGATCCCCGGCGTCTCTTACCACCAGCCTGAAAAGAATTTTTCGTGCGTCATTCGGATGGGGTGGCCGCTACCGCGACGGGACGATGTCCCGGAGCTTTTGTTTACGGGTCTTTGTCCCCCAGAATCCCCGCGGAGATTGTTTTTCATTATTTTGTAAGCCGGCGGTCCCTTTAATCAAACGCTCGGAAACAATATATATATAGCTACATACGTATTTTGTATACTATATACTATATACTATATGCTATATGTATATTATATACTATATACATACATAGAATGAGAGGAAGAAAGAGAAAGAAGGAAAAGCGAATTTATATGTGTATAGGTGGAGGGATGGCCTGTTACGTCACTTCGCCCCAATTAAATCTTCCAAAGAATTGTTTGTTTGTTTTGCTCGTTTACCCGTTTAACTCTCGGGATAATTCTGTTAATTAATCGCGAGCGGCCCGAACGGGAAACGGAACGAGCGGCCGGTTGTGCCGCTTTTATACGTAATGAATGATAGTCGAGGGCTTCAAGGGATAGATCGAACCCGGCTTTATTTTTGTTTCTGTTTTGTTTTTCTGTTACTTCGGCCGATTCGAAGTTTTATTGCCGCATCGGAACCCCGCAAACAGCTTAATTGGTATTTAAACTGCGATCGGTAAATTTAGACGCTTGACGCGCATTTATTCACCGGCGCCGGGGCATTCCCGTTTAACGGTTCCGACCAACTAATTTCCCGGCGTTCTCGCGATCGACCGATCCGTCGGCAAAAACATATTTGCATGCATTACCGGTCGCTAATATTAATACGATTTTCGGGAATCTACGCCTTCGGATTTCGGCTCGGTCTTCCCGTATTACTTTGCCGCCAGACGAAACGGTTGTCCGAATATCGTCCGTCGCTTTATCGCGTTCTATACAACAATCTGCATTTAAATATTCCATTTGTTGTAACTCGAATAAATCTATTTCGTTTTCTTACATCGGTGACTAGCGTGGCTCAACCTCCAAGAAGAGTAACAATGTCAAAGGGTAATGTATTAAATCCGTAAATTAGAAGTTTACCGAGTGACGGTTCTAAGAGTTAGACCGTCAAAATGGTTGACGATGTTATCAACCTTCGAGTGGAGACACTTGTCTTCTAATTTTCCAACAGACAGGATAAATTATTGACTGTAATGGGAATTAACGTTTACCGCGGAGAAGCAAATACAAAAATATATAAAAGAAAATTAAAGAAATTTTATTAAAATTGGAGTGATGCTTCAAAATCGTAAAAAAAACGAGAGATTATTTGCTTGCGCGAAGTTAATCGAAAAGAACTAATTTTCACGCGTTGTTATTCCTTTAACAATATTTCATATTCCCGAGTATACTGTAGAACGTAATTAACGATGAGCGACGAGTTGCTCGCTAGAGCAATCGAAAGATTGAAAACGAACCAATTTCAACTTTTGATTTTACAGTTATCGATTCGATCTAAGATATTCGACCGTACAGTCTGCGAAAATTCATGGACACGTTAAAATTATCTAATAAAATAAAAAGCGATTGAGATTTCAATGAACGCATTTTCGTAAGTCATACGATAGAATTAACTGTCACTTTGCTCGCTCGGTGCTCTTTGTGCTAACACACCAAACACCAGGTGAATTATACTTGTTAGCACACGCCGTGTTTAGTCAAGAAGTTGAATTAAACGGTAACTCCATCTGAGAATTAGACCGTACGTTTTGTTAATTGGCCACGCTTCACGTTCACTATGTAATGTAAGTTGAAGATTTGGCAAATATAATTTTCAAGAGAGACAGAGAATAAAAATGTAACGTTCAATGTGCTCAACCTTAAGAGATGCTATAAAACATTCTTGAACAACCTAACAGATTAAAGATCAATTGAAATATTTCGATAGACGCATTTACGTAAATCATATTTTCTATTTAAATAAGTTTCTGCTGTTCACTGGTAGATGTTGGAACTAACAGTACTCGCACATATGTTGTTTCTGGCAAATTCATGGCAATGCTCTTTCTTTAGATGCTCTCTTTCTTTCAGATGTACTTTCAGCTGCACCGTTCTTTAAAATAAAACAATGAAGAAATACCTCTCGTAAATGCGGCGTCGTTGGCACGAAAAAGCACTTCCTGTTTACGCCGGACTCAAACATCACATCCTAAGTCGTAACTCTTCGCGTACGAAGATATTTTGAAGTATAATATTTTTCCTCGGAGAAGTAGATTATGTACCAAAGACTCGAATAACGGGAAAAATGAATAATATAACCGTGATCTTTGGTATGTACAGAATCAAACTATATGTTGCAACTTCTATTACAGGACATACAATCGCGATGACGTCGTTGCGTCGACAGTCGTCTTCAAAAGATTAAAGCTTGTTCGTAGATACGTGCTACACTGTCTGAAATTACACACAAGCACTACCAGTTCCGACATCCATTATCAAATTGCAGAAACTAATTCAAACACCCAAAACACAACGAAGAAAACTGTCACTTTGACTGAGTCCTCCTAATATTAAACTTCACTAATGAAGTTTCATTTTGTAGCAAAATTTAATCTCCAATATTTTCATTATTCGATGCACCGACTATCTAGAATTGGATTAATCCTTGCATTACAATTTCTGTCACAGCTACGTTGATTAGCACTTCTTTGTATATAATAAATTCCTACACAGCAAAGAAACTTTCTATCTCTAGTATGCCATCCTTTACTTCGATGTTTAAACGTTGATGATAGGGGGAGTATAATTTGATTTCGATTTAATAAACGCGGTCCACATTTAGCGTTCCAAATCTTCGTAACGAGTCTAACACGATATTATAGGCCAAAGGGTAAACACATTTATTTGCACTTTTTATTTGCAGTCGATCGAGGCCCGATTAAACCAGTTATTTTTGTGAAAATAACCCTACCAGTTTCGGGTTAAAAAGAGCATAGAACTGGAAATGAATGAGCCAAGTTGAATCACTTACCACTTCCACCGCCGCCGCTCCATCCACCACCGCCGCCGTTCCATCCGCCACCGCCGCCTCCGAGTTTCCATCCTCCTCCGCCGCCGCTGGGCCATCCACCGCCTCCCCCACCGGACCATCCGCCGCCGCCGCCACCGCTGGGCCATCCACCGCCTCCGCCGCTAACGGTGATCACCTTGATGATCTTTCCGCCACCGCCGCTACCGCCGCCGCCGTTCCAGCCGCCACCACCTCCGGACCATCCCCCTCCACCGCCTCCCAACTTCCAGCCGCCGCCACCGCCGCCGCCGGACCAGCCACCACCTCCACCGCCACCGGACCAGCCGCTGCTTATGTAACCGGCTGCAACGAAACAAGAGCGATCGTTGGTTTTCTTGACTCGCCGAGAACCGGTGTCTCGCCACTTTCCATCGGATCCGCTCCGGTCACGATGCGCCTACGGTGCCCGTCTACGCGACCCGAGCGAGTGCATCGCGCGTACGATAAAACCGCGCGCGATTCGACTCTGCCGATCGATCCACGCGGAAACTGAGCGTTCGCGAATACCGATGCGTTTGTTGAATATTCAAAAACAATGGTGAAACGCAGAGGAGAACGCGGTGGGCTAAATGGTCTTTTTAAAAGTCCGCGCGTTTTTTTTCTTTTTTTTCTGTTTCGACGCTGGAACGGCCGCGAAGACAATATTGCCCACGTATGGTCACTTCGTGTTTTTGTTTGTTCAGTTATTATTTGGTAATGTATGCGTGGATTGGCAACCTTTCGGAGCACGAGTGGAAAAAAATATCGAGGACCGTTTTTTGTTTGTTTTTGTAGAGCTGTCGGGGAAGCGTGTTGCTTCGTAACAAGCGCGAGAGAAATCCTGTACTCTGCGGAGGATTTTTCACGGTGGAAACTTAGTTGGTTTCAATCTAAAGCAATCTCTTACGAGGGTGTAATTGTTATTCTCTTTTTCGTAGACATAATTGCAGGCAGAATGGAAGAAGGTTTTAAATTGTTTATGTACGGTGATTTACGAGATTGAATTTCTCGGAGGTAGGGGTATCTGCAGAGGAAAGTGGAAGTGCTTTCTCGATTAGTTCCTTCGATAATTAATTTGTGTAAATGTATGTCTTGCGAGTCTTGTTTTCTGGCGCTCTTGGAATTTTTAAGACAAAAGTCTTAAACAAGATGCGCGTACAGAAGACTTTGCGCACTTAGTTGAATATGTATACGTGTAATATGATAACAAAAACACCTTCGAAACGAAGAGAGCTATCACAAATTTGTCAAATAAAATTCACGTACGATGATCGCTATATATACATCGATTTAATCCTTGTGCCAATATTCAACATTTCTTACAACAACCAATATTATTGCGATGAAATATAAGATATTGATACGAGGGTTGAACCCGTGTCAATCGCAAAAATATAGCAATTACCGCGTTCCCTTTAGAATTCTTACTCAATTAGCATTTGATTTATCGACAATCCTAGAAAAGTCTTTTAATAACCAACAGTCTACCGATAAATGTTTCGATCGAATCAAATTATCTTTTGTACTTCTAATTTTAATAAAACGAGATTTTAAAAACCACAGAAATCTTGAATCAACAAATCCAATAGCGTAATCTAGGATGTCATTTCCAATTACTCCACAAAAAAAAAATTAGCAAGCTGATTTTCAACATGACATAGACAGGAAGTCTGCGACTATTTTATCCGGTAGCAAAGTATTCGAGCTATCAACGACCCTTCAAACATTTTCTCCTCCCGAGACGTGCGCAACGACAAAAAGTCAATTGAAACTCGTCGACCCTCCCTTAACGTCGCGTACATGAAAATCCAAGTTCAGGATTAACAGGTGTACTCACCATAGGTGGTGGCTATGAGCGCCAGGAAGACGGTAACGAGGAACACCTGTAACGAAAGACCAGGTGAGTCGGAGCACAACGAACAAGAGATCGAGCGATCAAACGGAAGAGAGTCGATGCAGTTGGAGTACACCGATCGCACACGGCTCTTACCTTCATGTTGAGGTGTTTGATGCCCATCGTCGGACCCGGCGCCTCTTTTATAGCTCTAGCCTTTCTTCGCGGGCCCCCGCCCTACCTTCTCCCCTCGGCGACCCCAGGTTCTTCATCTGCCGTTCATAACACCTAACTTTCGTGACCACCACTATCGCGACAAAAATCCCCCTACCATAATCTCTGGCATCCCGTGCACCTCGAACCCCCTCTTTGGGGTCACTCTCTCGCTCCCTCTTTTTTCTCTCCGCCTTTCTCTCTCTCTCTCCCCTCTTTCTCTCTTTCTCTCTCTCTCTCCCCCTCTTTCTCCGTCCTGTTTCTTCCACTAGCAACGATGTAACAATCCGCAAGCGGCTTAATCTTAACGGGCGATCGTGAATCCTCGACGGGGGCCAAGCCGAAGAAGCGTCCGCGAACGCGACGAGCGGACGTCGCCGCGACGCTCGCTGATTGTTTGTCAAAATCGGGGGCTCGCTGTGGAAATTCGCCGACCTCGTTCGCCGCGCCGGAGGAAACGCGATGATTCATTATTGCCGAGATAATCTGGATGCTTGCTGAATGTTTAGCCGCCGGAGATGGCCGACGGGGATTCCGCTGGAACGAGGTCGGCGGCGTTCCCTCGATCGTAAGCTCGTGATGCGGACGCCGAATGCGTACGATCGTTTCTGAAGCGGGGAAAGACGGGCGTGGGCGGCTCGCCGATTTTCCGTGTCTAGCCGGACCCGGTGTCAAGTCATTCCGTTGCGTATACGGAATCTGGGAATCGCGGGCTATACTCGGGAGCAGTTTTTGAGCAACCGGTGGCTCCTGAAGAGCGGCCTCCTACAGCCAAAGCTTTGTCTTCTGTAGGATCTTGCGGAATACGCTACAAATTTTTGGTGTCCCGGCGACTAAACTTTGCAGATACAGAGCATTCCGAAGGGATTCAGTCCGAGGTCCTTTCATACTTTAACCGAAATTCCTATTCTTACATTTTGTTCGAGCTGCTTGTCTGCTGTGAACTGAATCTTGAAAAGGGAAAAGTATCTCGAAGAGATTCATTTTGGGACTTTTTTTGAGATTCTTCCTACTTTGCGAGGTTATAGGAATCGAGCTTTGTTCCTATGTATTTTGTTACAGTGTACGAGCTAAATCTTGAAGTGGAAGAAATAGTTCGAAGAGAGATTCATTTCTTCGATACTCTCCTTGCTTTGACGATTCCAGAACATCGAGTTTTTCTTGCATGACGTTACATGCGCATAGCACTTCCGATTTTAATGTGCAAGCGTGAAATCGCGTGTTAGAGAAAATCGTTATCGAACGTCTTAAGGGTTTTTCCTACTTCGATGACTTGTGAAATTCCAATTACTTTGTACACTTTGTTACGGTCACAGCATTTGCGATCTAACTTTTTAAGAGTGAAGAAATTTTTAAAGGCATTCACTTTTTATCTCCGTTATGTATCTTCCTGCTTTGATGGATTTTTGGTGTTTTTAAGGCTTAGTTCTACTTTTCACATTTTGTTATAGTTGCTTAACGCAAATAACTTGATCCGCGAAGAGTAGGAAGTGTTCAAAGGTGTTTCAGAAGGAGGTTTCTTTTATTCCATCTTCTGCCAATGCAACGATTCCAGTCTGTCGATGCATCATTTCAAAAATAACATTTCTTCGCAGAGTTTTACAAATTTACATTTGAATAAAATACTATACTATAAATTCATAAGATTGGCAATTTTCTTTCGTCGAGCTTTGCCATAAACCACGACCCAGGTTTATGCAGCCAATTAAAACGTATTCTAAAACTGTAGGAGCATTTTTTCGAAAACTTATATATCAAATTTATTGCCATGACGTCATGTTTACCATCTCTCAGACTTCAAACTTGGCAAATATCTTGAATAAATATCCCATTTCTATTCGACTCAAAAAAGTGTTAGCTTTATACGTATTTAGAAATTCAGTCTCTGCATGTTAAAAGGTCACTAAAATTATCTTATCCTTTTATTAGTTTATTTTATTTTCAAAATATAAAACATCTATTTTTATTCAGAAATGATTTTTATTCTTTCTTTCTCGTATGACTACAGCGGCCGATTTTATAATAGCCACAGGCACACGTTTTTTGTATACCGCTGCGGTTACATCATCGTTGGATAAAATCACCATTTTTGCATGCAAACCATGTTTTGTATACTCTAAGGATTAACGAACACCTACGTAAATTTTAGAATTGATTTGTTTACTACTGTACATTCAAAACAACTCGTGTTATTTCTGGACCGATGGGAATCTTTATGCAAATCTCTATATTTGTGAGTTACCACGCGAAATTTAGAATGAGGAAACCTTTATTTCTCGTGGTGAAGTTAAATTGATACGCTATTCGGTTTCGTTAAAAGAGATAATATCAATGTATACTTTACTACTCTTCAATCTCTGCGAGTCCTGTACTCTTGAATCAATTTAACGAAATGAATACACACGACGAACTATCGAATAACAACGTACAAACAAACAGCCATTTTGCAAAACAGTAAAAAAGACGACCACACACGATGTATCGATTGCATATATTAGGATTATTCATAAGTAATGTTTTTACATCGCTGAAGACCAGTTTTTCTGGCGTTAACCATTATTTCTTTTTATACGGCTTGGTCAATAAAATCAGCTTATCGTCTCTAATGAAAAGTTGTTTCAAAATGGATTTCTGCACAAGATCCTTGTTGAATTTACTAGGTTTTTGGAGACATAGATTGAGCTCGCTGTTCCTTAATTTTTTAAGTCAACGATGCCACTATCTGTTATCCAAGGCACTAAGATATACTAACGAGATTATTTTATCCTAACTAGGATAACTAGCTATAAGTTGCTCTGATATAAACTTCGTCCACAGTTTAGCCTCCAGTTTTATAAAGGCACATCCAAATTCTTTCAGAACGTCGCAATGAATAGATTAAATATCAATAAACATATTCGCGCGTTGTATAATTGCAAATGACGCCCTCGAGTAAAGTGATTTATATGATCTCTTTAATAGCTATCGATAATGATTCAAGAATCCGGTTAATTACACCTTGTTCAACTTCGCTTGATAGAGTCCGAACGGAAGTACGTGCTGTTCGTAAAAAGTGGTAAAAGTTGAATGTTTGAATCACGACCCAGTAAAAGTGTTATCTTTTCAGAGTCTTTCTCAAGCACGGTGATGAATGAAAGAACTATAAAACTTCGAAGCGTTCTTACGTAATCCTTAAATAGTCTCTATTGCATTAATAAATTACAATCTTCCTTACTATGAGAATAGACTATTTTACAACTATACGTACAATTAAGATTTCGCAGATATACATTTTATAGATTGCAATAAACTGGAATGATCCTACCGAGGGAAGCTTTCTCTTTGCTTTCGTTGCAGGTGCCGGCGCGTTTCACGAGGAATTGATCGAGTGAGTGACTTATAATACAGATAGGAAATCATTAAGATCGGATAAGGAAAGCGATCTTTGTTCGACCACTCCAAGCTTCCTCATTACTATTCCTCTCATCTTAGCTTCGCGGTGCAATTAATAATCTTATTAAGTCTCGGCTAATCGAACCCGGGGTGCAATTTTGGAAAGATCGAGAGGTGGGAACAACGTGTAAAAGTTTTTATGCAAATGTTATATTGACTGTACCAAGTGTTATCAGCTGTTATTTTAGAACATAATTATCATAATAACTTCCAATTTTTTTGTAGTACAAGAGAACAAAATGGAATAATTGTTCGATGCATAAACTCAAAAGTTTTTGAAAAATAAGTTATTCCTTAACTCCATTTTAGGAGGCGTTGGTTAATTTAAACTTCGTTTATCGTGTTTGATAATGCGAAGATAGCTTATTGCAACATTTCGGAAGCCTCGTTATCCTATTTCAGATTTCCCATGGAGATGAACGAACAGTTTCGGAATTCGCTAATCTACCTTGCAGATGAAACGTATAAAATGGCTAACTTGGACGCGACTGTTAACATGCCATCAATCTTAGGCGAATGGCGTCGTAGTTGCCGAACAGCTGCTACAATGTGCACTGGGCGTTTCCATGTCAGTTTTGGAACTATTCGTTCAAAACGAAAGCTCGTAGTGCTTTATTCGGCACGCCGTATAAATAACAGACCGATCTTCTATAAATATTGCGCAATTTATTCTTCCAATTAAATTCGCGCCATCGCCGTTGATATTGCCTTGCCTCATCCAATTAACCAAAATTGTACGATCCAAACAATCGTACAGAATAAATCGCTGTCGAATAATCTTGTTTGCGACGGCCGATAACCGAGGAGTCCGGTTGTTGCGGAATGAAACTGCTGCGACAATTTCGATCATCCGAATCGATTCGTCCTTGGCCACGTTCGCAAATCATACGAAGCCTTAATAATCATGCGGTCAGCCGGATACCTGGAGTATCATCCTTCGGGCGGAGATTTCGTTCGTTTTGTTTTTGCTCGGTGTCCTGCGTTCGCTTTTTAATTATTACGCAACGCTTGCCCCGGATTGCAACAGCAACTTTTACCGGCCAGGTGAAGCAGAATCGTCGGACGCAGGAGCAAACGGTATTGTTACGGCGCGTAGGAATTTCGCTTCATCGATTCGGTCGAGATTCGCCTAGCCGGACGAATATATGTACATATATCTCGGCTTATTTTTATTTCGTCGCGTTCGTCTTTTTCGTCTAAGCTTCTGGCCGCGCGGATCGTCCATCATCGTCGAGCGATCCTCGTCTGGGACGATAAATTGCCGATTTCCAGCAATAAACGTTTACTCGCTGCTGCCGCGGGGAATCGACGCTAAAACGTCGAGGATCGATCGCGCGATATTTCACTTATCGCACAACTTTGTTCGAGGCCGATGATCTCCTAGCCGACCCAATGATCCGCCGATGCTGATAAAATTGCACCGACTGCAGGAACTGCCCGGTGTCGCAGGCTATGAAAAATGTTTCATAGAACGCGCTCGTAACAGGTGGAACAGCGCATTGATTTTACGGTTTTGC